AGTATTCCTAGTGCCTAAGCACATCCTGAGGCCACACGTGACCCTCTAGGTCCTCAAGTGTGGCCCTCTGACTGAATCCAAACTTCACAGAACAAATCTCCTTAATAAAAGGACTTTTTCTGTAAAACTTGGATTCAGTCAAAAGGCGCACAAAAAGGCCACGTATGGCTTGGAGGCTGCAGGCTCCCCACCTTTGTCTAGTTCAATAAATTAGTGATTGGCTCAACTGAAAAATAGCCTGCTTGAAGATTAATATTTCCTTCTCCAAGTTTAGGTGGGGAATATGCAAGTAAATAAATCATAAACTGTCACTTCTCTGATGATCCACAGATTTTTTTCTTCCTTTCAAAATTATCTCTGGATCCCTAGAGATGCAGGATATAAAACAGAAAGCTGGGGCCTGGAGACCTTAGTTCACATCCCAGTTCCCATGCCTACCTACATTCAAGTGGGGAAGTAGACAAGTTACAATATCTAAACTGCTTTTATCATTTGCAAGAGGTACACAATATTTGCTTTACCTATGGCTGTACTTTAATAAGGAGCCAGTACTGTGGCAAGAGTACCCCAGTGCTTCTTGAAGACAGAGGAGCTAGGTTCAAATTCCACCTATGCCGACTTACTATTTACGGTGACCTTGGGAATGTCACATAATCTCCTTGGACTTCAGTTTCCTCATTTGTAAAATGAGAGGATGAATTAGATAACCTCTGAAATCCCCTTTCCAGTTCTTTGTCCTATTATGAAAAAGTTATACAAACAAGAGCTACAATTGTTCCCCAATACATCAAAACCTTTCGTTTGTAACAACTCAACCCTCTCCCTTCCAATAACAGTCCTTTGACTACAAGAGATTCAGAAACTGGAACAAATAACTGGAACCATAGTTTAAGAAAGCTAAGTTCTTAACAAATTAACAAATGACAGTTGCCGGAAGAAACCCGTAATACTCGCACGATCCTCTGAAAAGCTAAGGGAGAAGCAGGGGAGTGTGGAGGAGAGGCGAGGGCTCAGCTCTGCTCCACGACTCGGGCTTAGTCCCTCACACCGGGGGCCCGGCAGGCTCACACTCGCCTAGGACAGGCCACAACAACGCGGGCAACCACAAAAGGCATCCAGGCCTCAGGGAGGACCCATGGTGACGAGCGACCACTCGACTTCAGGCCCACAAGGCAGGACAACAAGCACTTCCCCAAACCTAATGCAACAGGAGAGCCACAAACCAGCCCAAGCGAGTCAGCAACCCGACCCCGTGCGGGCCTCCTCCCCACGGCGAGGCCGGGATCAGCTGGACTCCGCCGCCTCCGAGGCCAGGAGGCGGATCTCTCCGCGGATGCTTCAAAAGGACCGCGCAGGCGTCCGGAAGTGGGGGGCCAGGGCTGAGGAAGCGGAGAAGAAGAGCCTCGAGATATCCTCGAATTCACCTTTCGGCTGCTCGCCGGAGCCAGCGAGGGCCGCAGGGCCGCGCGCCGAGGTGGCGCGCCCTCCTCGCTCTCCTCGGGCTGGGGGCTGGAGGCCTTCACCTTCGCCTCTCGTTCGCGGCCTGAGTCACCGCCATCTTGAAACCGCGCGCCGCACCGCCTCCGTCACGTCACTTCTGTTTTCTAGGTGCGTTGCTAACGTCGCAGAGCATTTCCGGCTCCTGCAACCATAGAGAGAGCCTAGGGGCTAGAGGAACTTCCGCTTCGGAATTAGAATTCGTTCGTTCTACCACGCACTTCCCCAGTGCAGACTGGGAAGGAGGTGGTCTTGGTGTTTGGCGTCACTACGTTGCTCTTAGACCCACCCCTTTCCCCCTAACTCTCGAGAGCCTTGTCTCCAAACCCAGACTCCCGAAGCTATTGTCGAAGGCGCGGGCGGAGGAAGAGCCTGAGAAGCGAGGCAGGAATCTGATTGGCCGGAGGCGGCCTTTGTCCCTCCCTCGAACCCTGGAGCGGCTGTAGACCTGTAGCCGCGCTTGTTTCGACCTCGTGTATTTGTCTGCGGTCTGGCTGCGCTTTAGGCCCCGTTCCCCCATCCCCAAATATCTACCCTCATCCTCACTCTCACTGGGCCTCTAAGATGAGTCGCCTTCGTTTTTCTAGTCTCTGGGAGCCTCGTCCTTGCCCCACCCCCACATACAGGAATAGGACGGGTTACTGCGTGCAGTCGAATGCTAGAAGGAGCCGCAGTTTTGTGGGGAGGGGTCCTGCCTCCAGCCACGTAGACTAGAATTCCTCACCTGGCTAGGCCAGCTTTATAGAATCAAGCTGGAAGGGCCCTTAGCGGCTTTCTAACCCAATATCTAGATTTTACAGATATACAAGAGGCACAGAAAGGTTAGGTAATTTGTGACACACAGCCAATCAGTAAGAATTTATTAAGCTCCTATTATGTGCCAGGCACTACGCTACAAAAAGACAGTTCACTCAAGGAGCTCGCTGTCGATGGGGGAGATGACTTGCAAATAAATGTGTACAAACAAACTATATATACAGGAGAAACTGGAGATAATCTGCAGAGGGAAGGCGTTAAGATTTAGGATTGGGAAAGGTTTCTTGAAGAAGGTAGGGTTTGAACTGGAACTTGAAAGTAACCAGGGCAGCCAGGAGGCCGAGATGAGGAGGGAGAGAATCCAGCCCTTGGAGGGCATCTAATACATAAAGTTGGGAGATGAAGTGTCTCATTTGAGCAACTGAGCTGGGTGCTACTGGATCACAGAATAGGGTGGGAGGTAATAGGGGAGTAAGATGTCAGAAAGAAGAGGGAAAAGGAGGAGCAGGCTATCTGGCTCCTGTGAAGGGCTTTGAATACCAACAGCCACCTCTCTGATCGAGCTGCTGAGGTCAGCTAGGTTGGTGGTCTTGTTGACCCACACAGACACATCGGGGCTAGAAAACCTTTCAGCTTAGTAAGGCCTTCAGGTCTTTCCTCTGGGGCAGTGCGCCTGGAGATTGAGAGTGCAGGTGGTGATTTAGTCGAAGATTGCATTACCTTCCCTTAATGTGCGTGTTGTTTTACCGAACAGCTGGAATTCCATCGCAATTCTAACTGGCTTTTGTGGTTCTGGCCAAGTCACAGGACCACTTTGCTTCAATTTACTCATCTGCAAAATCTGTCAGTCCTACTTTGTGTTAGACAGGATGCTGGGTATCTGGGACATGAATACAAAAACGAACAAAAAACCAAAAAAAGCCTATCTTCTTAAGCACTGGATCTAATATACTGTAGTGACATAAAATGTTCACGAAGAAGTAAATACAAGATATATGCAAAATAAATACAAAGTGAATGGGTGGGAGGGAAAACAATACAGGCCTCTTGTAGGAAGGAGGTAGCACTTCAGTCAGGGGTTTTAAGAGGCAGAGATGAGGAGGAGGGATCTAATTCTACACACAGGGTACAAGCTGGTGAAAATGCACAAAGACCAGAAATTGAATGTTTACAGGGAATAGCAAGTAAAGACCAAGTTTGCCTATAAGATAGATAGAGTGTGCAAGGGAAGGTGTAATTTGTAATCATCCTAGGAAAGTAGGTAGTCTGGACCCAGAAGGGCTTTCAATTCCGGAAGGAGAGATTTATATTTTGGCCCAGAGGCAAGGGGGAGTTACCAATACTTCTTAGTGACACCAATGAGAGCTAGCGTTTTTTAAAGTGCTTAAGGTTTGTCAAACATTTTGTACAAGTTATCTCATGTAATCCTCACAACAACCCTATGAAACTAGGTGCTATTATTATCTTCATTTTGCTGATGAAGAAACCAACTAATACTTGTCTAGGGTCACAGCTACAAAAACCTCAGAGGCAGGAATTGAATTTGACTCTTCCTGATTCTATTATCCACTACTTCAATTTAGCTGACTTCTTGAGCAGGAAATTGACAAGCTATATGCTTTAGGAATATCAATTTGACAACTGTGTGGAGGACAGATTGGGAAATGGGGAGAGTAGATGTAGGGAGAAAATAATTAGGAGGCAATTGCTATTAATAGTACAGGTGAGAAGTGTTGAGTGCCTGGACCATAGCTATTGTAGTGTGACTAGAGAGAACAGATTGAAGAGAAGTTGAAGATGTATTATAGACCGGAGTTGGCAACTATCTCCATTGTGTGAGTAATGGCAAAACAGTCAAAGATGACTCCTAGGCTTTGAACCTGAGTGAATGAAGAGCTATGGTGCCCCTGACAGAAACAGGGAAATTACAATTGGTAGGGGAGGGGAGGGGAATTGTGGGGACAAAGATAATAACTTCAGTTTTGGATACATTGATGTTGAGATGCTGATGGGATATATAAGTGGAGGTGTCCTGCTGTCTGTTTGAGATGCCAGGTCTGGAATTTCAGGAGAGAGAGAAGGGCTGAATATGTAGATTTGGGAGTAAAATGTATAGGGCAGGATCACTTTTCCAAAAATGTTTTATTGGCAAAGGGTTGTTTTGAAGATTGAGTAAGAGGAAATGCTGAAATACTTGGAAAAGCATAAAGTACAACGCAAATGTAAAAGTGGTGACTTTCTTAGTCTGTTGCTTAGTTGGGTACTTCAAGGCCTCTATGAGGTCACTGTTTCATCCCTGCTACTCAGAGGTATTATTCATTTTTCCATATGGCCTCTCTACCTCACTAGAAGCACTCTTGCTTCTTCCCTTCCCTTTCTATCTTTTTAACTCTCTCTAATATTTCTCTCTTTCTCTTTCCTTCCCCAAATAACTATGAAAAGATAGAGTTAAGGATATTTAGAATATATAATCATAAAAATATAAGTTCTGGACATTTCCAGCATACTTAAATGTGTTTTCAGTTATAGGTAAACAGTTTAATTATGAACCAAGTCATCTTCTCAATTATGAACAAACATTTCTAACTACTGGTGAGAAACTATTATTGATGGGCTGAATTTTTAGATATACAGAGTATTCCATAATAATTACCTTTGTCTTTGTAAATTTTTCTATTTGATTTGGTTTTAGCCTGAATTTTGAGTACCCTAGAAGAATAATAACCCGTAAATTTGAATTCAAGCTTCTAAACCCAGGTAAGTAACTTTACTAGGTATTTTTTAATTTTTGGAGACAGAATTGTATTTAGTCAACAGAAGCATGTTGGCAGAGAGAGAAAATGATGAAGGAATACATTGTGAAGTTGAAGTCTTTGTTCTGGTCTTTAGCTTTTTAATGGAGAACATTTTATTTTGTGATTTTTTTCTTCATGTGAGCCAAGCACTCAAATGTATGTTGTCATATCAATAGTAAATTTACTTTTTAAGCATAAGAAATTGAAATAAAGACAATATTAACTTAGGTACTTGGAGCAGGCTTAGTAGGAAATGACTTCGATCTACAGAGGGATTGGATTTTTAACCATAGGCCTCCATCACAATATCTACATTGTCCCGTTCCCAGGAAACTGGAGAAATGGCTCCTAAAGGCCACTCACATCGATGACAGTGGCTTTCCTTTTTTCAGGTACCACAAGTATGATGATTTTTTTAAAAAAAAATTCTTCTTTATGTGCTTCTATAGTAATGCAGCTAGGGTTTCATTTAAATGATAAACTTTTCAACCAAATGATGATTCCTCTTATATCATCAAGGTTATACTAATATTATGTATACTATGCATCTCAAAGTATTATCTGTATATATATTCTTTTTGCTCCAGGGAGCTTGAGACAATCTGTTCATCATGACACAGCAAATCAGTGAAGACTGGGGAATTGGAAATAGAACTTGGTATCCCTAAATATATTTCACTCTTCTACCCAGACTAAATATCTGCCTGTGACATTTGTATTGGGAATTCTGTAATTAGTGGAAAGTGCTGAAGACTGCTACTTAATTTCACCTCCAATACTAGCCTTTTCACTCACTTCCAATTTGCAGAGTACAGTACTTAAGCTGATGGTTTATATTCTATAACTAAGGCCCAGGACTTTGTGAAATACAGTATTATAGATCTGAATGATTCCTGAAGACACTGGCATATTTCTCTAGGGCATTTAGCCAAATGAGTGCTTAGAAGAGACAAAAGAGAGGGCATTCCTATGTCTAGTGTCTTATAAAAGTTGCTGATCTGGTGAAGCAGTTTGCAAGAATAGCTCAGGGAACTCTGAGGTATACTCTTTGCTCTTCAGATTTGAGATCCCTTTCTCTTAAGATCAGCCTGAGCTCAGGCAGAGAGTGTTGAGCTAGTGAATATAGTTTTAGAAGCATGTTTTTGAGTCAAGGGCACTTTGTCCCAACACCTCTGAATTGTACCCCGTTTCCCCACTACAGCAGTCGTAGCCACTCCTCTCTAACGCTGTCACTGCCTGAAGCTGAAACTATGTGGGAAAATAAACCTAATCTAAGAACCAAGGCTGAAATGGAAGCAACAGAAATTGCAGTTGCAAGTAAAATACAGACTCCTCATTTCAACCTGCACTTCAGAGTATTGGTGACCTCCTTTATGGCCTGATGGTATTTTTCTGAGGCAGATTTGAACTCTACCAGGTGTTCCTCATAACTTTTAATTGCTGCTTGAAGCTGGCTTCTTTCCACTGCGCCTAATATGGCATGGAGGATCATATCTAGTCCAAGTCTGAGAACAGCAACCCCAATACCACCAAGTAGAGATGCACCAATTTGGGCTAACACAGTGACCAATTTGTTAATGACAACAGTTGTAACATTTGAGCAGATAAGTTTTACAGCTACGGTGCTGGCAGTGGAAGTGGCTTCTCCCAGGATGACTGACATAACCTTCTGCACAATTGCAATTTTTTCTGTTTCCCTTTCTCTGATGTCCTGAAGTTTTCTATACAATGTTGGCTCCAATTTTTCTTTTAGCACATCATCAACCCTTTGTACTTCCTTTTGGATCTTCTTCATGGCTTTTATGATGATATCACAGTTTTCCTTAATGGTGCCATTTCTTTTCATTTCTATAGATTCCAACCTGCAGGCCAAGTGCATATTTAGAACCCCACTCAGTTCATTGGTGACATCAAAGCTGTCTGATAAGCAGTTAAGCAGCTGCTGGTGTAGGTTGTTCAGCTCCTCTCTCCTCTTTGAGTTCTCGGGATAGAAAAAATCACTCTGAGCCATCTTCCAAATGGATCTCTGAAAAAGAAAAGTTTAATGTTTTCCTTAGGAAAGTATTGGTATTTCAGTGGACTGAATTAGAAAATATTTCATTTCATGCATAGCAAAGCAACTTTCTTCTTTTTGAAAGACTGTTACATGGCGCAGGGACATATATGGAAAACTAAGTGGGATGTATAACATAAGTTGGCATGTTATATAAAATTCACGCATAACACTTGCTGAGGGCAGGGGATTACTGAGGAGGAAAAATTTCAAAAACATCAAATTCAGGAAAAGAAATACAAAGGAGATTAAAGAGATGTTCAACTGATAGGATCTCTAGGCCTGTCCTTTTTCTTTTTGTGTGTGCACTCAAACAGCCAGAACTGAATACTTCACATGTGATCTGATCAAGCTAAGTACAATACAGAAAAATTATAACTGCTATATTATTAACATTAAGCCTCTTTTAATGTAGCCTAAAATCTCATTAACTTACTCAGCTGCCATATTGCACTATTGATTAATTTTGAGTTTGCAATTCAGATTTTTTTTCTTACTAAATATTGTCTGGTCACATCTCCCCTATCTTGAACTTGTGAAGTTGATTCTTTTGAAACCAGGTTCAGGGTTTTGCACTTCTCACTTTTAGATTTAATTTGACTAGATTTAGTCATGCATTCTAACCTTCTTTTGCAATAAACATTTATTAAACTCTTACTATGTGCTAAATGCTCAAACAAACCAATCCCTGCCCTCCAGGAGTGTGCATTCTAATGGGAGAGATGACGTGTGAAAAAAAAATGCACCTAGGGGCAGCTAGGTGGCGCAGTGGATAGAGGACTGGCCCTGGAGTCAGGAGGACCTGAGTTCAAATTTGGTCTCAGACCAGACACTTGACACTAGCTGTGTGACCCTGGGCAAGTCACTTAACCCCATTGCCTAGCCAAAAAAAAAAAAATCACCCAAAAAATCTATATCTATCTATCTATCTACCTATCTATCTATCTATCTATCTAATCTATCTATCTATCTATCTGTCTGTCTGTCTATCTATATCTCTGTCTGTCTGTCTATCATGTGTGTGGATGTATCAGAAAGACACAGAGAGGAATAGATAATGGGAGATAACCTGAAAGAGGAAGGCATTAGCAGCTGTGGAAGTGGAGAGGGTCATATCCCACCTGCAAAAGGTGGGATATGAACTGAGTCTTGAAATAAGCCAGGGAAACTAAGAAGTGGAGGTAAGTAGAGAGAACATTCCAGTATGGGGAACAACCAGTGCAAAGACAAGGAGAAGGGAGATGAAGGGTCAGTACACCAGTGTAGCTGGATGGTAGAATTCAAGGAGGGAGAGTAAGCTGTAAGAAAGCTGAAAAGGTAGGAAAAGGCCAGGTTATGAAGAGATTTAATTGCCAAACAGACAATTTTCTGTTTGATCCTGGAGATAAAAAGAAGCCATTGGAGCTCATTGAGCAGGGGGCATGACATAGTCAGACTTGTACTTTGGGAAAATGATTTGTCAGTGAAATGGATGATGGATTGGAATGGGAGACACATGATGGGGGTAGGCCAGTAGTCCAGGTGAAAGGCAATGAGGGCCTAAATTAGGGTTGTGGCTGTGTGAATAGAGAAAAGGGGATGCATATGATAGATGTTGTGCAAAATTTGGCAATGGATTGGATACAGGGGATGAGTAAGAATGAGGAACTGGGAATGACACCAAATTTACAGGCCTGAGTGACTGGGTAGGTGGTGATGCCCTCAACAGTAACAGGGAAATTCAGAAAAAGGGAACTTTTTGAGGAAAATATAATGATTCTCTTTTTGACATGTTGAGTTTGAGGCACCTAGTTTAAGATATCCAAAAGGTAACTGGAAATATATGACTGAAGTTCATCTGACAGATTGTGGTTAGATATATAGATCTGGGAATCATCTGCATAGAAAGTAATTGAAGCCCTGGGAGTTGATGAGATCACCAAATGACATGGTATAGAGCAAAAAAGAGAAGAGCATGTTAGAGGGCATGACATGAATGAAAAACTAGCAAGGGGTACTGAGGAATGGTTGGATAAATAGGAGGAACACCAGGAGAAGACAGTGTCACAATATCCTAGAGAAGAGAGTGTCCAGAAGAAAAAGATAATTGACAGTGTCAGATACAACAGAGAAATCAGAGGAAGATTATTGAGAACAGGCCTTCTAGTTTGGCAAATAAGAGATTACTGGTAACATCAGAGAGGGCAGTTTCAGTTGAATGATGAAGTGGGAAGCCAGATTGCAAAGGGTTTTAAAAAGGAATGATAGAGTTGGACGTAGAGGCACTGACTGTAGATGGTTTTTTCAAGGAGTTTAGCCTGGAAGAGGAGAAAAGAAATATATATAGGTCAATAGCTAGTGAGAATGGTTATCTACAGATTTGGTTAAGTATGCCAACTGCCTCCATTCACTCTCGTCTTTAAGTTACTGATAAATATTATCAGAGGGCTGGGCTCAGATACCTTGGACTTTCTACTAGAGATTGCCCTTTAAGTTGCTGTGCAGCATTAATGGCTGCTCTTTGGGACCAGTTATTCAACCAAATGGGAATCTACCTAACCATATTATTATCATTTTGCTGACATTTTTTCATATTGTCCACAAGGATGGCATGAGCAGCTTTAACAAAGTTTAGGTCTTTTAATTCAGTATTTATGAATGGATACTATTAATCTTGATTTAGACCATCTGGGGTATATCATATATTCAGAGGTGAATAATTTTTCCCAAATTTGGGAGCTATATCTGGCCTTGGGGGTGAGGGTAGTGGTATGGAGCCACTGCCTTCAAATCATTCAATCTCTTCTGAATGTTAATAATAATAATAATAATAATAATAAACAGATATCTTACAAAAGGTTAATACCAGTCTGAGAAGCCTGGCTGTAGGTCCTGCCATCTGCCTTTCTTGGTGTTAGGTAGGAGCACAA